CGCGGGAACGTCCTACGACAGTATGCAGCGCTGGCAGCTATGGATCCGTGCGCAGAATGCATAGGTCGGCGCACGGATCCATAGCTGCCAGCGAGCAGTCGACAATTTTACCGGGAATACAATGAAACAGCTCAGCTGCATTGCGCTGGCAGCTATGGATCCGTGCGCAGAATGCATAGGTCGGCGCACGGATCCATAGCTGCCAGCGAGCAGTCGATAATTTTACCGGGAATACAATGAAACAGCTCAGCTGCATTGAGCTGCTGTTCTGTGTAAGTTCAATGAAAATATCAATAAAAGTGTCAGCACCTTCTACTTCTACACTGTGTTGTATAACTTTTATTATGAATTGTATTTTATTATGCGTCAGTGGCTTCATGTAACGAGCGGCTGCTGCAGCGGATACATAAGCTGGGTTTTATAATAATACATGCGGAAATAATACGTCTCTATTCATGTAAATAGAAATGTTCACCTATATACAAACAATGACGACGTAATAATGACAAAATGCGATATTTTCGAAAATAATGTCAGGGCATGAAACACCAAAAATGGTAACTCGCGTTTCTAGAGGAAAACCAAGCGCGCCGACCAGCAAACGAACAATTACGACCATTTCTATGAAATGTCTACCTACGTGCGTAGTGAAAAGGCTTGAAAATTAGTCAAACTGCTGAATTGAGCGATTATACGGTCCATGAGGTCATTCTACACATACAGCCTTCATTCAGTTAACGGATGACATTGCCAATGAAGCAGATAAACGGTATTTCACTGGGATGCTAGTTTTACATATAGAAAAAGCATCGCATACAGTTGACCACTCTATGTTACTATCCAAACTAAAAGCAATTGGTCTACAGTATAAGGTCGTGAAATGCTTGCAGGCCTATCTGTGCAGAAGAAGCGAGATGACACATGTGCGATGCCGTCTCATCTGGAGTTGCTATTTCTAATATATATGTCAACGATATTGCAGCCGCTGTAAAAAATAAGCTGTTATTGTATGGTGAGGACTGGGCGCTGTTAGCATTACGAATTCACATTGACGTTGACCAGGAGAAATTCAAATTGTATGCAGACCTACGAATACTTCTATTACTTACTATTAGTATTACTACAAGTACATGTTACAATAATTAGTAGTAGTAGTAGCAGTAGTAGTACTATTAGTACTAGCACTACTGCCACTACCTACTAGTACTAGTACTAGTACTAGACTACTAGCTCCAAGAAACGGTATTGCTAGGGTTAGAATACCCTATATTGACGTTAGTCACGCAGCCTGGTCGGGTTACTAGACTAAGTACTAGTACTAGACTAAGTTACTACTATAGTACTAGAGCTACTAGTACTACTACTAATACTATATAGTATAGTACTAGAGTTAGTACTACTACTAGCTGCAACAAACGGTATTTGCAAGGGTTAGAAGATCTGTGTAAACACAATTTGTTGTGTAGTAGAGTAACAGTAAACAACACCGATGTCCGTACTACTGAGTACTGGAGTGGTAG